TCGCGATCTCGACGGTGCACGTTGTATCCGGCGCAATTCAACAGGGTTGAATTGCCGTGCAACTTCGTCTCTTGGACCGCGGCTATTAATATTCCATGCCTTCCCATAAAGTTAGTTATCTCCTCGATCTTGCTCTGGAGTCCGTTACAGTTAAATTAAAGCACCTTTGTGTGCCTTGGGAGACCGATTGTGATGTGTGGTGTTAAAGAGTTGTGTTGCCTGCCGGCCCCTGCTGTAGGTGCTGCAAAAGGGGGTGCTGCCTTCTGGTGGTGGTTGGGGGCGTCGCGGGGGAGGGATGCAACGGGGCAGCACAGCAGGGTCCCACATAGTCACTCGTCCAACCTCGCGTGTTGCGAAGTCCTGAGCTCGCCCTAAAGTGACACCAGCCGAGGCAAGAGTTGTACTTGACTGATGTCACGTTACGGTATATTCTGGACTGACAAACAGAGCAGATTGTCGGAGGGACTAGGAGCTGCCGGCGGCGGTGTGTGGGTGCTATTGTGTTTGTTTGTGTGTCCATTGTTGTGTTGTGTTGGGGTGTGGGTGTGTTGATTGTGTGCTGCCCAGGCGGGTGGTGGTTTGCCGTGGAGTCGGTCCGGTTCGCACAGCATGGGGCCACGAACGACGTGGTCCATTGCCGGTGCGTACGTAGGCGCGAGCAGTTACGGAGGTGACTCCACCCGTCACAGGCATTGCACCTGACCGAGGTGGAGTTTGTATGCAGTTGTCTCTGGCCTACGCAGCAGGTGTAGATTTCTGGCCCTGGGTTTGACTCTATGCCAGCCCTGAGCAGAAGGGTACGGAGAAGATGTAGCTCTAGAATCGAGCAACGTTTGATGGATTTCGCCTACCTAAGCGGGGTTAGATCGCCGAAACAACAGCCCTTGGTCGGGTAAAACCCGAGTCATTCCGGTACGTAGAACCGACTGTCGTGGGAATGATTGTTTGTGAGTTGCTGCGCTTGGTGTGTAAAGTCAAATTGCTTTCACTATGGAAATTATAAACTGCGACGACCTTCCGTGCATTAAAGAGCTAATAATTAACAAAAAACTATAAGCTTTGAATCTTACTAAAAAGAAGGAGTTGATTGCTTTAAACAAACCAACACCAGATTTGCTTATTACACAAATTAATAAATCCCATAAAGATCTTTTAATAGATCTGTGTATAGTATTCGGTGGATCGCTGGATGCTCACATTTGAACAAATTGTTTTGTTGGTACTGCATTTTCTTTTCAAACGAAATAAGCGTGTGGAATTCGTCAGGATATGACGATTTGAATAATTTAACAAATGCAACAAAAAGGCACCAAGTGACTCAAAAACACTTAAATTCTGTATTATCTTTTTATAATTTTGGTAAACAGAGAATTGAGACCGCATTATCTCGACAGCTATCAGATGAAATTAGTCAAAACAATTCGAAAATTGACCACAATAGAAGTGTTTTCCAAAGGTTAGTCGACATTGTTTGCCTGTTAGCACGATTTCGTGGTCACGACGAATCGGAAACTTCGTTAAACAAGGGGCATTTTCTTGAGTGCGTTCTTTTGCTTTCGAAATATGACCCAGGTTTAGAAAAACACATGCAAAGAAATAAACCTTCAGATCCAAAATCTATCAAATAAAATACAGAATGATATTATCCAGAGTGTGTCCGAGGTCCTAATTAAGCGAACTGAAATGGAAATCAAGAATACGTCATTTGTTTCTGTTATCCTAGATGAGACTTCAGATGTTGCCAATCGGGAGCAATTTTGTTTAATATTTAGGTAATTTTTTATTTAAAAAATTTAATTAATTTTACAGTCAAACATAATTTTAGGTAATTTTCAGAGAACAAGATTCATGATCAGTTTTTGGGATTCATCGATGTATCAGAAAGTCGTAATGCAGATGCCATCACAAATATTCTTCTTGAATTTATAAATAAATATAATTGCGGAGACAAGCTTATAACCCAGAGTTACGACGGTGCTAGTGTTATGTCAGGAATGAAAAACGGAGTTCAACAAAAAATTAAAGATAAATATCCCCAAGCTATTTACATCTGGTGCAATGCACATATTTTAAATTTAGTTCTCTCCAAATCGTGTAGCAGAATTCGTGAGGTTAGCTAATTTTTTTCCGCTTTGCAGTCAATTACTACCTTTTTTAGTGTAAGCACTAAAAGGATGGCAGATTATGACAAAATATGTAACAAACGGATGCCACATACTTCTGCCACCCGTTGGTCTTACTCATCCCGAATTGTAAAAGCCGTTTACGAACAAAAACACAGTCACATAGAACTTTTTATATATATGATAGAAAATTACCATAACTGGGATGGTGATACAAACTTTTGCGTTCAAAATTTTCATATTTTACTTAAGTCATTTGAGTTCAACTTTTTTCTTGAAGTTTTCTGTGTGGTATTTAAAAAAACCGATCATTTATATAATATGATACAAAAATCACAAGTCGATGCAGGATACTGTATCAATAAAATAAAAGAGTTCAACAATTGGCTAAAAACAACTTTTTCAAATCTATTTGATAGCTTTTATACTAAATCATTAGAAAATAATTCGGCTCCTAGAGTTAAAAGACATATTTCTTGCCCTGAATGAATTTAAAAGAATATTTGGAGGAATGATTGATATAATATATCTTCTGAAGTTAATGAAAGATATTACGAAATTTTCAAGTTGTCTTTTTTCAATTATTAAATAACAAAAATTTTGATAGATGCAATAAAAGTTTCCAAAGATAAATTTCTTGTTTTAAACAAATATTTTGGTAAATGTTTTGACAAATACTTACTGAAGCAGCAACTAATATCTTTATATTCATCGCCAGAACTGAAAAATTTTGATGTGTTTGAACTAATCGATTTTATTAACGAACTTTTTTCTGAATTGACCAAGTTAGCTAAATTAATTGCCACAATTCCAGCAACAAGCTCTTCGGCAGAAAGAGGTTTTTCCACATTAAAGCGAATACACACAAAATCAAAACGACTTTCTGAACTCTCCATTATTGCAATTGAAAAACAACTATTAACCGAATTGAGGCATTCGCGTACATTTTACGAAGAAGTTATTCAATCGTTTCTTAAGAAAAATAGACGATTCGAACTTGAATATAAATAATTGTATGCATTACTATCTAATACATAACAATAATTATATGCCAAAAAATAGAATGGTTGACAAGGTTTAACATATTTGTTCTTCGTTATTTAATTTTGGTTATTTATTTATAAAAATATAGTTCTTTCTTTAAAAAACCTCGTGTAAATCCAAGTTTCAAACTTCACGTAATATTAAAAAGAGTTCAACAAACTTTTGTAAAAATTTCGAGGTTTTTTGATTTCATTTCCTAGTATGCTGTTTTGTAGCCCATTGAATTCTAGTAGAACAAAGTACAAGATTCAATTGGCTAAAAATTACCGTTGATTTTTTAGACTCAGAATCTTTCTAGGAAAACTAATAAAAAAAATTTGTTTAATTTTTTTAATATTACGTAAAGTTTGAAACTTGGATTTATACGGGGTTTCTTAAAGAAAGAACTATATTTTTATAAATAAATAGCCAAAATTTAACAACGCAGAAATAGTATGTTAAAACTTGTCAAAATATGGTGCAGCTATAATTTTTTCTACCAGTGTATGTATATATGTATATTATACTTATAAATTTATTTTTACCTAAGGGTGAATTAATGAGAATATTAAAATAAACTTGACTTTATTTACTTCTTTTATTCCTGAGGTTATATTGACTCGGGCTTGCCTCGATTGAATCACTTAGGCACGCCACTGGTAGAAGGGCAAGAGTGAGTTGTTAGAGCTTCGCGTCCACTTATGGGAGATTTTTTACCATAATTGGATATTTTTGGTGTCCGCGTCCGTTTATCGGAAAGACCGTGTATGGGAGAGCATTTTCTATGGAAAAAAACCAAAAATTGTTCAATCCCAAGAATGTGTCCGCTTATAGGAGATGTCCGCTTATTTGAGCGTCCGTCTATGAGAGCTTTCACTGTACATATTATCTGTATTAAAACCATACATTTAAAAATTCTGATAAGCAAATCCGAACAATTTGTGAATAACTCGTCAGTCATATTAGATCCGCCATTTTGAATTTTGAAAAACAACATCGTAATCAGCGACCGCGACAACCCCCGAGTAACGAGTTTCAAGCGAATTTGATTAATTTCAGAATAGTTTGTCAGATTTGATTTTTTTCTTGTGAAAGTACCTAACTTTGAACTGAAATTGTGAAAAAACGAATGCAGCTAGAGATCAGCGGTTTATTGCATTGGCAAGAGCGGCCCGTTTACTATAAGAGTCGATGAAAAAGTGAAAACCGTTTTTTTCTGACCGTAAATCCCTTCTAACTTTACGTGTCACATATATAGATGTGTATACTCAAAATAAAATTATAGCTTAAAAAACTAAAACCTCGCTATTATAATTTCCTTTCGTACTGTCATCAGGTATGTAACTTGAGAATAGAAATCGCTGCATCTTTTAGGCGCATCAATATTACAATGTTACATACCGAGCTAATAAAAGGGAGGTAAAAATGGACTGACATGTATTTTCATATGTAGGTTAAGTTAAATAATGTCTGGAGTGCAATGGGGTATAGTCGTTGCGCTGGGTATGCAGTTACGCTTGCATGGCTATACTCAATGCGTCCTCGTTCGCGCACTCTGGGCAACGTGAGCAACCCATGTGCGAGATGCGGTAACCAATCCGAGTGGAGCCTTGGGTCACGGCAGAAAGAGAGGGAGCTTCGGTGGGGCCACTCTGACTTATTCGGTTTAAGGGCTCACTGAAGTCTGCAGCGTCTGTTCACCAGTAGGTGCGGNGGACGTTGGGATAGCGCACTATCTATCAAGTGGCCCGTATGAAACTCCGATGAAGCCACCTCCCCGGGACTGCTTTCGCATTTCATCAGAGAGAGGCCATGGCATACAGAATGCCTCACTCCATAACTTCATTTTCGTATTCCCCCATCCACATTTGTGATAAGGGGTTCAAGAGCGTTTTGTCGTCTGTGCTTCGTGAAGAGATTCCCTGCGGAGTAAAAAACAAGAGTGAAACACAATTATTGTCAATTACTTCATTTATTTCACTGATTAAAGCCTCTCTCTATCCGGCGGCGTTGTTCCCTTGCTCTAAGCTCAGTCATTATATCTTTACTGACAGATTTCACTCCGTCCCAGACCTTAATGTCATTTATCATGTATGATAGCAAGTTTTCAGGACTCGGGCTAGTCAGAACCAAATATTTTAATTTGTTTCTTTTAACGGAAAAAGAAGGGCATGCAAAGAATATATGCTCTGCGGTTTCCGGTACATTTCCACATGAACCACACGCCATTGTGTCATCATGACCATACTTGCACAAGTACTGTCTGAAACAGCCATGCCCACTCAACAGTTGGGTCATATAAAAATCTACTTCGCCATGTGATCTGCTCAGCCAGGCTTCGATGCTCGGGATGAGTCTGAAGGTCCAGCGACCCGACGAAGACGCTTCCCACCGTTGTTGCCATTGGGCGAGGCTTTTTTGGCGTTCGGCCGCGATATCGTGCTTAGAGAGGGCTCTGACTTTGGATCGGGAGGTCAAGTAGGTGCGCTGGATCTCGCTAGCCATTAGATCAACAGGCATTATACCAGCAATCACACTGGCGGCATCATGCGAAACTGTCCGGAAAGCACTACATATACGTTTAACTTATTAACGTACGATTTATGTTTGAGTGCATGTCCCCAAACAGGGGCCGCATACATAACAACCGATTGTGTTACTTTACTCAAGAGTTTCCTTCGATTCTGACTAGGA